TTTGACTAGCGCTTATTGTGTAATTTTTGAAGGATTCCAAGCTTTAGTCCATACATTTCTCAACAGCCTTAGAGCAGTGTTGCAGTCTGAGCTTCGCGAAATCGTCTCCGTAGTACGGTCACTAGAGCGACAACTATTCTATCTGGACACCCAGTCGAATGGAAATGTCGATGAACAAAAGCGAAAAGAAATTGTTGACGAGATGGAGGAAAACAAAGCAAGACAGTTGGAAGTCTCCGATAAATTATCGATCTATATTAGGTTTGTTAGCTTAGCCTTCATTGAGGCTATGAATAATATGAATAGAAATCGTTCAGTTGCTACAAACAGCATCAAGTAGAAGCCGCACGTGCAACTGTCTGTAGCAAACTGGAGGAAGAAGATATGCTGGCAGCTGTGGCTCGACGGTTCGAGGCACGTCCTGGTTTTTTACAATTTTTTTAATCGTTTTGTCTTCTGCTCAAGTTACCTACGTACAACACAAACGTTCCGAAAAATTGGGGATTAATAGCAACCAGCTATCACCTGTATCACCTGTCGTCCCGTTGATCGTCGATTTGCTCGAGCGGGCGCCAGCAACGTCTCCATTCGTCCCTGTCGCGTGCTAGAGTGGTCCAGTGGATCCTCCTCGCTCGAGGGACACGAAGCCTTCATTCCTTTCGTTCAGAGCTTTCGTGAAGAAGTCTGACCATCGGGCCGGCGGTCGTCCAGGTGTTCGTTTGACAATACTTAATAATTAATTTAATATTAATTAATATTAATTCAATAATTAATTTGACAGCAACCAGCTATAGATTATCTTTTTTGCTTCAATTTTCAACCCTCTGTGGGATGTGCAATGCACTCGACTTTGTTTTGGGTTCACGTGGAACCCTGAGTCGCTAACTATCCACAAAACCGATATGATGTTCACGGCGCCGAGCGCCCGTTAATGCGCCATGCAATGTTTCCCCTTTTGGTTTCGGTTGATAGATCTGATGTAGGAATTGCTTTTTAGTACATTTGTAAGGTGTACGCTCTCGCGACGCTTTGAGACATTGCTCCTAAAATCTAAGCCCTTGTACAATCAATTTGTTTCAGGTGTGTTTCGAGGACTGCATTTGGAAGTTAACCGAATGTGATGGACAAATTGCTATTGCTCAAATACAGATCAGGAACTTCTTGTATGTTTATTGTTCGGTTAATTTGAGTAGCGTTAAAAAATTTGAAAATTGTCTTGTTCTACTGTTAGATGGAAGTTAGTTTAGAAGATCTTTCAGACAGTAAAGGAAAAAGTCTGATTCTCACACTGTTTGGGAAACCTGGACAATCGAGTATGCATGTGTCATTCGAAATTCGTCTTTCTAATCATCTTTTTTCTTTAAGTGCAATTGTTTAAGATATTTGTTTTCGTATGTCCCTATGTTCTCAATGCCTTTTATAGATACAATGTCTTTTATAGATATACACGAACGGTGCGTATCGATAGTTCAGGGGAGCATTTATTCGAGGTAAGATTTGGGCAAAATGCCATCAACCGGTTCCTACTCTCTTTCCCTGGTCGGAGTCCACAGACAAGTAGAGCAAGTGTGATGGTCTTGAAAAAACGATTCCACGTTTGGTTTTCGAACTCTTGATGACATTTGTTCGTTAAATTTTAGTCATTTCGCAATTGTCGTTTAGTCCATTCCAATTTTAGTTTCATTCCATGTCCCAGACGGGAAATTGAATGCATATTACGGCTTAGTTCTGGTATTTTCTTTCTGTGTTATGTGTTGTTTGTTTTAACTTTCACTGTGGGAATTCAGGTTGGAACATTGCGAGTGACGAACCTCCTTCCAGATACGATTTATAGAGATACACTTCATCGGTAATTTTTTTTCTCCATCTATTTTGACTGGATATTTATTTCTGTTCTCGTATAACGCTTGTATTTATGATCTCTTTTTTCTGGTTGAACTACTGCCTCGATTTTGAATAGCTTTTACACCATTGCCGTTTCCAGGGATGAGCGGGTTCAAACTCGACAACCTTCTATAAGACTAATGGTTCGCGATATGGCTCCAGGTAACCACTAAATTACAACCTGCATCCTGCGATAGGGCCTGTCGCAACTGCAGGACTCATGGTTAACAGCACGTGTCGCATCGAAACCCCCTTTCGGTAAAGTTTTTTCGGGGGCATGCACGTGTGCTGCTATACCTGCAGTAACGACTGCCTCATTCGGAGGAAGCAGTATATCTTTCATGTCAATTCTCGTAATGGTCACTTGAAAAATAATGTTCATTTTTTTCAGTTGGAGGAATATGCGTGAAGGAATTGTTTGAAGTAAATATTGCGCCGATGGTAGCCCAGCTCACCTATCGATTTTTTGAAAAGATGATGCTCTTCTTCTTCCCTGGACGTAACATTCACAAGGAAGATAATCTGGATGCAGTCGAAGAGGGTACTCCAGTAAGTTCACCTCTTTCAAAGATTGCGGTGTCAACATATGTCGTTTTGCATTTATGGCGGCTACTCGAAGGTTAGGGTCGTGATTAGGCGACCAACAAACCCCTTCTATCATTTTTTCTGTGGATGGGTGGTCACAGAGATAAAGCACGTCCATTACTCGTAGGTGCACTTTAGTAACGCCCGTCCCACTATTCTGAGCTATCACCGCCTACCTTAAGCTGTTACCGCCTACCGCTCGAGGTGGCTTAGCATGACTCCCTCGCACGATACATACATTTCAATCCAATACATCTTACCACACTAATCAGTTGCAGAGAAACATTAGCAGAAAGTCTTCGGCAAACTAGCTTCGGACAGCGGAGCAATGCGAGCTGCTGCCTTGTGGAGGGAGGGGGAGTATTATTTTTGGCTTCATTAGAAAATTCTTAAATTTTTCCTTCGCTGGAGTTACAACTTCTCTTTCATCATTTTCGAACGTCATAGGTCCCCAATTCGGTCCTATCCCTTGCCTTCCAAGTCTTTCGATCATTTTTGACAACTGTTATTAGCCCGCAGCAATTTTTTATTTTGTCAGCTGTAAGGTGAAGGTATTATAATTAAATTTGTAAGGTATTTGCACGTGCGAAGAAGCCTCTTTCTTGTAACTCTTAGTTAGAATGTTTTATTTTCACTGGTTGCAGCCTATAAAAGAGGTTTTTTGAAAGTAAAGCTCCGTCAGCGTAGAGCTTTGCGGTGAATTATTTCACAGGTCTCAAAATCTAGCTGTCCTCCTTGCTACTATGTATGATGCTCTGCCTGCTGATCACGCTATTCCTCTGTGCTAGTGAGGCTATGCGAAGGAAAAATCGTGACACTCAGTTGCACTTCCGCTAGAGTGGACTTAGTGTTCAAACATGCCCGGGCTCGCTATTAGGCCAGAACCACAGCGAAAACTTGAAATGTATTCGCAACAACATAACCAGTACTAACTATGTAGAAGGCTGTGTGTTTCGGAGATGATCAGAGCTCTTATATGTACCGTTATTTAGGAATGAGCCGCACATTCGAATTCCTCAGTTCATGAATACTATGTATACTATGGACCGGTGAATATGCCGTTGGGGGAGGGCCCAATTGTGCCCTGCAGCTCTAACAATAAGGATCAAGATAAGGGCGTTGATAATTTGTAGAGAAACAGCTTTGATACCAGTCTCAGTGAAGTAGGCCCTTTTTGAAGGAGGAGCGGCTGAATCTCAGAATGGAGGAAAGGAACGAGATCCTCGGTCAAGGGTGGAAATTTTTTGCCTTGGCCTGAGAGGAAATGGGGGAGGAAAGGAGCTGCCACTGCACGCTTGCAGGACGTAATCAACTGATACCATGAGCCAAAGATTGGATTGAATGTTGCATATAGGACAAAACATAGGATCTAATCAAAAATAACGTTCACTGAGCGACTTATCAAAGTTCTTATCCTTACCGCTAGTGATACCTAGAATCCTTAGCACTAGAGACGCAGGAGCCCTTCTCAAGTCGTTTTCACCGTTTGGATCCACCCCATTTTTATCGCTATGGACAAGTTTGGAAGTGAATCCGCGGAACTCATTCGCCTGAACCGTAAAAATATAGCGCTGAATACAAACACTAGGTCACTTCCTCTGCAAGAAAATGAAGGGAAAATTATTCCGTGAAACAAGTGGATTTTTGTACAGTAGTGATCGAAAGTGAAACTTTGCAAGTAGATATTTGACTTTTTTTCAGAAATTTTCCTTCACTCGTCGCTTTGCTGGTACTCTAAGCATGCGCAGCAACAAGGCTGGGCAAGTTGATCGGAAGGCAAGTAACATCAGTGGGAAGGTAGATTTTCAATGTGCTTTTCACTTGAAAAGATTAGAGCTTATAAGAAATGTTTCTTTTTACAGAGCGTTAGTGGTAAGCAACCGCTAGAAGTTGAGCTGACGGATATCGATAAAATGAGGGAACGCGCCGACAATAACAATTTCTTCGTGTATATAAAAATTCCTGAAGTTCCATTTGTAGTGTCTTATAAGGTACACATTTTTTTTGTGTAAATTTCCGTATCCCATCGGAATGTAATCAATGTAATGGACGTTGGGGTTTCCAGGGTAACAAAGACAAGAACATAGAGGATGTGGATCGGTTCAGCTTTCTGTTTCCTCTGTGTGAGTTCCATGAAAGGAACTGGACTTGGCTTGATGTGGCATTAGCGGTGAAGCAACGATGTAAACGGGTACTACTGCAACAGGTGGGAAAACGTTATATTCTATTTGAAGCGAAAGAAAACAGTTTCTGCGATGACAACTATACTTTCTTTCGAGGCATTCACCAGCTTCTCTTTTCTGGGTCCTCCTTCCTCATAGTGGAAAACATTTTCTGTTGAAAATGATGTTTTGGAGAGTGGCACGGCACGGTGGGGGAAGGGGGTCCAAGGCCCTTGTGCCCTACGCCTCTCGCTCGTCCCGCGATTCGCTAGCAAATGTCATGTGACACCAACGAGCGTTGATGACCCGCAATCGAGTCATTTGAAGTATCTCTCTAAAACCGTTGTGGTGTCCTACACCTTTCACATCCTTCCCAGAAGCTATCCATTTCATTCCAAACTCATTTACCTGATCATAAAACGGATTTTCGCATAAGTAAATTGTATGTTATCAACGCTCTTATCCCTAGCTAAAAGACGCAGATCATGGTGAAGTGTCCCCTCCCTTCCCCGCCTCCAATTCCATTTTCTAGCAAGAAGCGAAAATTTTGCTATCTGGGAACTGAATCATGCAATTGACATATCTAAAGAGATCGACCGAGCACGAATCAAAGTATAGCTCATGAGCAGCTGAGCAGTTCACAGTGCTTCAATTTAGTTCATGCGACAAAAATTGCTACGAAATCGACTAACAGGTGGTCCGGAGACAGTAGAAGGAATAAGTGAAGAAGATAAAAAGAAGATCGCGCTCGGTTCTGTACAAGTTAGTTTAAACGACTGCGTTTTTTACTTGGTTTTCAATAACTTGTCCGCTTCACATCCACCTGCTTTTTAGACATCCACCATCGAAAAGAAGAAGAAAAAATGAAGAACTAGTCAATAATCTTGTAGTGATTGAATTCTCTTAATCGTCTTAATCGTCATAATCGTATTTATTTATTTATTGAGCTCGTCTAGTTGGAACTAATCCACTTATTTTCATTGCACGATGTGATCGTTGTGATTATAACGTTGAGGAAAAAAATCACTGGTCTCTGTATGTTGAGTGTCTCGACAGATTTCCACTCAGGGCAACTGCTTTACGTGATGCATCATTGGTTACGCATAGTATTATCATCCTCTTCAATAAAGAGGAGAACTCTTTCTACACTATTTATTTGACGATTTGGTGGGCAGCGATGGGAGCATTACTTACGACAATTTTCCTTGCAGTTATTATTGCAAAATTTTCATCCATAGCAATACTAAACATTGATGAAAAAACTAGCTGATTACACAAATCTTACCCGAGCGTAACTTGTATTAAAATAACGTGAGCTATCTTGATGTGCTTACTTGGCAGTTTCTTAGCGTAGTTGCAGAAAACATAGAAAAAATGTGCCCAGAAATGAAATAAATTTCATATAACGAATTCTTTGTGTATATTACGAATATCACTCAAACTTGAAGAAGAAAGAAGAAACAAAATGACCCGACAAGGTAAAGGATTTGGATGAGGGCTCATGTTGCTAGTCATCATCTGAATCCACCGGGTTCCTCTTTTTTAATGTAACCTGGTTCCGAGACTGACGACGTTCCTCCAGCGCGGTGTTCAAAGCTGACCAATCATCAGTCCTTGCCTGTGAAATTTTATCATGAACAACGGTCAAGACAATGACCAATCAACAGTATCACCTGAATGGACGCTTGCTCCTCATGGGTCAGTGGCTTTGGGACATTGTTGACAACCTCGACAATATCTGCTAATCTGAAGAAAAACGTCTTCAACAAGCCTGAAGAGACTGCAATCAACTGCTGCGCACTCAAAAAGAAAGCTGAGGTAAAGATATCTGCTGGTATATGTGGAATCGAGCGTTGACAAGAAATGACTGATGGTGAGCGGCGTCGTACGTGCGTACTCATTCTACTGCTTAGACATCATGGAACCCTCGGTTTCACATATGCAGCGAGATAGCTGGATGAGGTGGAAGAGGAACTTCCGAAACTATGTCCATGCATGCGATATGACATAATGGAAAGTTTTGGGACATCGCGCAGTGAAATCTCCGGCTAAACACCAGCATGAATCAGCTCAACTACTATTTTTATCGAAAATTCACGATAAAGATCACATCTACGCTGTATTTTTTCCAGAATTCGCTAGTCACAGTATATCAAAACTAATAAGATGATGATGCACACCTGTTTATGAGTTTTTCGATAGTCTGAAGGGCATCTCCATGCATACCCTTCCAATCATCCTCAACACCCATGAGCTTCTGCAGAAACTCTGTGAGAACATCGGGAGATTTGTCTGGAAATTCTACAATTCTAGTCTAAAAGAACATATTCAGGAAAAGCAGAATCTGCATACCTAGTGAATCTAAGCCATATTTCAAAGCAGCCAGAGCTATTTGAGACGGCGGATACATAAGCATTGCATCCGAGAGGAGTGCTTGCTAAATGAATGAAATGCTCAGAATTTTGGATAGCAAGGAAGCTACGTTCAATTATAATACATTACAGATTCGCTGCGCTAACCCTGAAAAACTGGTCCGCAGGCTCTCGAATGGACTCAACATTGAAATTGAGAAGCAGCATACGCGTTTTCATTTCCATCAAATGTCCTTCAAACGGTCTAAAAGAAGAGTTACTGGCGTCGAATCCTTCGTGGATCAAGTTTTAGGCACTATCAATACTCAATAGTTAGAGAGTATGCACGATGTACAAGTTAGAGAACAAACCGATAGGGGCAATGTATAGTTATCTGATAACGAAGAGCTCGCATAATTTCTGGTTCTAATCCCAAAATTCTGGTAGTGTTCTGCTCCGGAGTTCCAGATCTGAGATTAAATATAGTGGATGTCGCCTAGCCCTAAAATAGCTCGGAGAGGAACTCACTTCAAGTTACCGACAAACTCATCAATAGTTACATAAAATTCTTCAACTTTCATTGCAAGGTAGAAACATGCCATCATCACTATCTGAAATGTTATTGTTTCATGGGGAATCATTTAGAATTACAAGAACATTGATCACGCCTTTTTCTAGCCTCAGCGTATAAAACAGAACCGCTTAAAGCAAAGAAGAATCGAACGACGGGGCACCTTTGGACTAGCTTCCATTACTGACCAGTCGAGAAAAAGCCGCTTGAAATAAGCATAGGCTGTCCATCGAACTGATGGCCACATATACGGTTGAAAGGTATCGGAAAACCTAGAATGGTAGAAGTATATAAACAGAAAAGATTATCACCATAACTGAAAGTTATACCTTATTGCGGCACTTTCCACGACCGCGATCATCTTTGCTTCCTCCTCAGGGGTTAGGAATATGGCTTCTTCTCCAGGTTGCAGCAAATCAGCTTGCTTGGCTCGGAACGCTTCATTCGCCTAGTGTTTGTTATAAAATTTCAAGGTGAATAAAAGAAAGGTAATCTGCTGATTACACCATTTAACGTCCATTTGGGCTTGGCTTTGATGAAATTTGACCGGAAGCGTATGTATTTCAGTCATGTGGTCAAGCTTTTTTTCAGCTTAAGCTCCTGTACAAACCACGCCAAATCCAAATTTGAACGTAGAAGGAGAAAAGTCTAGGCATTCGGAAAAGATCCGGCAAGTAGTACAGCCCCGAATCCACTACCTTAATCCAATTCCCCCAAGAGCGCTGTGGATAAACTCGATTATCTTGAGGAGAAGGACTATGGAAGAGTATTTCTATCAAACAGATTGCTCCTCTACACGATTTTGAATAGGTGAGCCTACCACCTAATGGAAAGCGTTTTTGGTACAAGAACGTCTGGATAAATACCATGATTCCTTGGAGAACTAATCACGTTTTTCTTTCCAGAATTCAACTCGTGGTCACAAGGTTGCTCATGTTCACCAAAGTGTTCCTCGCACCAAAATTCCTAAAGATTGCGGTGCTAAGTGGGTTGGGGGGGGGGACCACGCGGCGGCGCGGCAGTCTGCTCGCCTGGCATCTTCGGAAATCCGTGAGCCAGGGGGAGTGTAGGCAGTCTAGGGGGTGGGGGTGAGGGCAGTCACTTGACATGCGTGAGATGTCGGTCAGACTCTGCGATTGCATCGCGCGATGGAATCGCAGAGTCTGACGGACATCTGAAAAGTTAGAGTGTTCGAGTTTACGCTATCTCGCTTGAGAGGCGCCAGGCGAGCGGAGTGCCGCGCCTGACCCGTGGTCCCCCCAACCCACTTAGTACCAAGATTGCTTCAAAAAGCTTGATATTTCAATGTATCCACGGAAGACGAATAATTTACAGGGCACCTCAACGAGAACTGCGGGAACGAGAACTCAGATCTATTCCTTGTCAGTTCTAAAAATTAGAGGCCAAGAATTGATGGAAAGGAGGCAGGGACTCCGAAAAATCTAAGAATTTCTAAAATAGATTGCAAGAAAAATGAATTGAACTAACCTTTCTTCGCCTTTCCTGAAGCTCTTCCTTTGTAAATGTCCATTCTCGTTTCTGTGTACTTGTGGCATACATTCAAAATAAGATTGTGGAAACTACAAGAAAGTTTTTAAATAGTACATAAACGATTTGAAACTAGGAAATGAAGAATTGAAAAATGCGCTGAAGAGCTTCAAATCCGCTGTACTTGTCGCAAATGCGGTAAATACCAACGACCGTAACCCTGAAACTCATTTTCTCATGGAAAGTGCAGCCCAGCGAGTTCATTTTTCGACCCTTTCCCTGGTTTGAACCGTTGTGAATTCGATTTTACTCATGTGTGAATTTTTCGTGTCTATTTCTCGATGGCATCTTGACCTCTGTTCATTTTTATGAGCCTTTCCCTAAATATGCTCGAATTTGTGCTAAGCGAAGGTTTATTTTTGCACATGACTTGAAAAGTAACGGAAAAGTATTGCTCCAAGTCAAGCATCTGACTCAACATGAATTGCACTTCTTGCTTATTTCTTTTAGTACTTTACAACTAAATCGCGATGTGTAATATTCTTCGCGCTGATAAGCCACATGGTATTCTCACAACTGCCCTTCTTAGTAGGTAATTGTCTAGTACTAACATCGTTTCCGTATTTTGTTTTCACCATTTGGCTTGTTATTCATCAGGGTCTTTGTTTATAATATCCAAACTATAGCATCTAAACTGGCACATATAGAATTTCTCACCACATTCTCACTTTCCATTGGCTGTACGTTTGAAAGCGTATTTTGACGCTATTTCTTTTTTGACAAACTATTTAGGCTGAGTGGTGTATTGGTTCTTCCGAGCCAGGCTTAGTCTTCGGGAGGGGGAGGGAACGTGGCGGCGCCGCTCCCCCTCCCCCCCCCCCCGATGGAGCTAACGCCTGAACCTAGGAAGGAAGTGGGTAAGCTGTGAACATTATGATTTGCGATTGACTTTTGGCATATTTGAGCCTCCTTCCAGCCTCAGACTCATGGTCAGGGCCATTGCGTTTTACAGACGCCCCGCCGCCGCGTGGTCCCCCTAATTCACTTAACAAATTTTAGGCGTTCCAGAGCTTGCGCGTACAAAAAACTGAGTGGTCAATGTTTAAGTGCTGAGGTGGCTGTAGTGGTTACTGGCGATTCTGATCACACGAGTGGTTCGCAGGTTGAAATGGGGATTGAAAATCGCCTAACCATAAGCCAGTTGAGTCTTCGTTCCTGCAAGAGTCACTAAGTTGATGCTGGACTCTCCTGGCTGTCTAAAACACCTATGTACTACATAGGCTAATTCCGCCCCGGCGGCAGCCACTGTGGCAGCCCTATGGCCTGTTAGTTAGTACCCGCATTCCACTCGACCATACCATAGGTTATTTGAATATTTCTGATATCAACAAAATTACTAGCCTATGGATAGCTGTAAACGATATGGCCCAAGGAAGTTTTAAAGGTTTCTTGAACCTTACAAAATTCTGGGTTCAATTTATAATACTCTTTGTTTTCTATTGCCTAGTTCAAATATGGAAATTAAACGAGTGGCAGGAGTAAATATAAACCTCTATGGACTGCAAGACACGTGCTTTTACGAGAACAATTGAGGCAATGATAGTTATGGCGCTCATTACAGCGGATATTAATTAATTTTGCCTTTCATGGCCATTACACGTCATTTTGCTCGTAAATCTGATATTGTATATTGAATGTACCAGACTGGTCCCCCAACAAGCGCCGGTACCATCCTTGCCTGCGTAAACTTTACACTTCCCACTGTGCTCCCTTACACTTGTGACACTAACACCTCATAGAGGGGATTGGCGTGCAAAAAAAAGTATAATTTGGTCGAGGGCACCTTCACAATCATTTATTGATGTTAGAATGCCACGTGATGGCAACTCAACTCTGTTCTTGGTTGTTCCTCCTCCTTACCTTACGATGCTCCCCCTCCTCTCCTCCCTTCGTTACACTCCGGCTGCCTCTCCCATGTGAAATGGTCCCGAGTTTGCTCAGCAGGTGTTTATATGTTTAGGTGTTTATATAGCCGATGGAAGTGTTATCACAATCATGCCATTGCAAAACATTGATAGCCCAAGTCCTGCGAGCTACCCGATTTTGTTAGCGGTTGTTTACCATGAGCTCCCTTATCACTTCATTTTGCGGACGGACATACATACAAACCGAGACACCAAGTTAGCGGGTCTAATAGAAGGGTAACCTCTACGTGTTGAACATCGGTGACATTGTTTCGTCACATTCATGTTTTGCCTTTTTCTAAAACCCAAAATCTGCGGATGTAAGGTGAGCCGCGGCACTCGCAAAATCCCGCTCGTCAAACTGCCCAAAACGGCGACATCAAGCGAGGTCGTGAATGTGTTAATGCCACCACAAAGCCGCTGTGGGGCGCAACCCAAAAACGATTAATCAACACCGACTTTCCTCTATTTCGTCTTTGCCCTCTGGAACTCTTCTGGTTTACCTTCAGACCCCTGCCTGCATCAGCGATTAAGGGAAAAGGTGAATCACCGATAGAATCGTCGAAAGTATTCCTCATAAGAAAGGGGAGTGGGAAAATAAAGGCGCATAAGTTAGTTCTTACTCATATCAGTGAACTGAGGGCGGAAGTGGTGTAGTGGCAAGTGGCACGCTTACCACGCGAGCGGTCCGGGGATCAAATCCTGGGTCGTGAGTCGCCCGGGCCAACCAAGCCTTCCATCCCTCCGGGGTCGGTTAATTGGTACCAGACTTGTCTGGGAGGATAAAAACACTGACTTGTACATCGGCTGGCCCCCGCAAGTCATTGTATAGGCCACATCGCATTCAAACGCCACTACGAATGTACAAATGGAAGTAGAATGCGTGCCGCATCCCAAAAAGGGATTGATCAACGGCAAATGCTTTATCCTTATTTATCCTTTATCAGTGAACTGATCAATATTTATCCAGACATTTCACCAGATCTTTTTTATTTTCTCGCGGGGCGCTTTGTGAACGGAGCCACGCAATCTATTGTATTAGATCCATATTTAACGATTCATTGGTTGCACCTCTCTTCGATTCTCCTGAAACGCAGTTCAGTCGCACAATTCAGTTTTCCACTAGTTCTTCTATTCTTCGGTTTCCATTCCATTCCACTAAATGCGCTCTTATTAGTTGAGACTAGAGGAACACAATTTACAGAAGTTAAATGGATCCTCAGAAATTGAATGAGGAGTCCGCGGTAGGTATATATAGCCGGGTTGCCTTCTTTAACTTTAATCATGATGTCGATTCCACAAGAGCACTTTCGAGCGATCATCTTCAATGAATGGCGCTGCGGCACAGGAGCAGTGGGAACCGTCAACATTATCAGCATCGCATTGGGAAGGGACACCACTTCCATCAGTGCCAAGCTCTGGTTCGCAGGCTTCGAGGAGGAGACACGGCTTCCGAAAGACAAGACAAGGTTGGGAAGCCCCCAAAGGTGGAAGACTCCACCGTTCTCGGCGCTGTCGAAGAGGAT